GATCTGTCCCTGTCCAGGTGCTGTGAAGACACCAAGGGACTCTGAGAGTCCTGCACTTGACCCAGAAGAGCTCCAGTTGGCAGGGAGAGAACATATACACAGCGAGAGCCAGCACGGTGATCGCTCACCCGTGGCTGGACTGCAAAGCCCAGGCCCAGGATGGACGAGCATTACGTCAGCGTGGGCCGTGGCATGATGGTCTATGATTGTGAGTTTTATCGAGCCAGCTACATTACCTACCGCCAAAGAAAATGCTGGCTGAGCTGTTATTATCAGTTGTGGGGGTAGAGAGCCATTCCACAACAGCTTTCCTCAGCTTGTAAGCACCCACAGTAGGTGTCCAGCCCATATTTGTTAAGTAACGCTGTAAACGACTCAGCAGGATTTCTTCTTGGGGAGATGAAAAGTCCCCAACTCAGCAGCGAGGAGAAAACAAATACGATCAGTATCATCCTGGAACATCCTTTAAATCATCCTTAAAACTCCATGACCTGAGCTTTTAGGAGATCACATGCAAGAATGAAATTCTTTTGTGTTTTTCTTTTTTAATAAAGATTTTATTTATTTATTTGAGAGAGCGAGAGAACATACATGAGTGGTGGGGAGGGACAGAGGGAGAGGGAGAAGCAGAGCCCCCACTGAGTGGGGAGCGCAATGCGGGGCTTGATCCCAGGATCCTGAGATCATGACCTGAACCAAAGGCAGATGCTTAACTGAATGAGCCACCCAGGCGCCCCTGAACTTCTTTACACGGCAGCCCATTATGGCCTTTTTTACCCCTTGGAGCAGCCAGGAAAGGCCAAGGTCAAATTTGATGTGAATGTATGCGTATGGGGCAGGTGGGGAGAGGTGTTCTCTTTCTCTTTTTCTGGTGAACCGGTTAGAATTGAGGTATTTTTTTCTTTTTCTTTTTTTTTAGAGAGGGGGATGGAGGGAGGGGGAGAAGAGGGAGCATCTCAAGCAGACTCCACGCCCAGGGCAGAGCCTGATGGTGGGCTTGATCTCACAACCCTGAGATCATGACGTGAGCTGCAATCAAGTCGGACACTTAGCTGACTGAGCCACCCAGGCGCCCGTACAATTGAGTTTTTAAATGAGCCTGCGGTACAGTAACAGAGGCATCACTAGTGGGATAACAACGGTATTACGGGAGGGCTGGGGACTAACTGTTCTGGAGCCAAGGAGAAAGAAAAGCATTTGGTTGAAGAAACCCTTCACAACAAATAGAGCTACAGCATCGTTCTTGGGCCAGAAACTCTGAAGATGGTAGTTCAAAGTTCATACACACACACACAACCTTGAGATGGTCCTCGAAGGGAGGATTCTAGGCAGTCCCAGTTCACTCCCCCACCCTGCCCCCCTCCAGCATTTTGGGAGAGAAACCCATTCATTCGATACCTCTCTCTGGAAGTTAAATTGGAAGCCACTGGTACATGTAGCATCTCAGGAGGTCTCCATGGCAACAGCTCCAACACCTTAGAATTCAGAGGTTTTCAGACAATCCCACTACAGACCAGAAGAAGAGAGGGATGTTGGCACAGAGGGAAAGTTCCTATCCCATCTCACTTCAGCAGCCTGGAGGATGGGCAGGTGGTGGAGTGGGGGGACAGTGTGCCATTGGGATGGACGCTCAGGTTGTATGACGTTCCGTCCACATTACGGTTGCTTCATTCCTCCCCAACTAGCACCCTGGTGCAAGCCAACATCATCTCAGGTGGACCCCGGCAGGAGCCTCCCCACCGGACTCCTACTCTGTCTGTTCTCCCCACTAGCTGTCCACCATGCTGTGGCCAGAGAGCTCCATCTCCACCTGAAGTCATCATGTCCTTCTCGGCTCCAAATCTCCACTAACCCCCTTTCCAGAGTCACAGTTCTTCCGGTGGTGCCTGCGCGATATGCAGTCTGGTCCCTAGCCTCTCGGCCCTCCTCCCCCTCTCCCCTTCACTCGCTCTGCTCTAGCTGCACACCCTCCTCGCTGCTCCTGGAGCCCATCAGGCACGCTCTCACCTCAAGGTCTTTGCATAGTCTGTTCCTTCTGCCGGGAATGCTTTTCCTGCAGACAACCACATGGCCAGCTCCCTCACCTCCTTCCCGTCTCTGCTCAATCTCACAGCTCAGTGAGACCACCCTGCCCCTGCCTTTCATCCTAATCCCCTTTCCCTGGCTCCTCTGCTTGGTCCCCAGCACGAATCACTGTCTGACATACTGGATCATTTACTTGTTTACACCCGTTGTTTATTGTCTATCTCTTTCTGCCCTTACGCAAAAGCACAGGAGGCACTTATATACATCTAATGAATGAATGGTGGTTTCTACTCGGGAATAACTAAAACATAATGGGAGGCATATTTGCTGAGCAAGGAGGTAAGGGGGGAAATGGCAAAGTTTGTGATGGTTTACTTGATCTGCTGGTTTTCAAACTGTCCCACAGGGCCCCAGGGACTTCTCTTACTCTGGTGGGCAAGAGGAGATTCGATGGGGACCCTCAATGCCTCACCTTCAAATTATAGCAGTAAATAATCCAGCAAGACCACTTTGGGGGTATTATCCCTCCAAAGGAATGAAAGCAGGGTCTCAAAAAGATATTTGTGCACCCATGTTCATAGCAGCATTAGTCACAATAGCTAAAAGGTAGAATCAACCCGAGTGTCCATCAATGGATGAATGGATGAACAACAACAAAAAAGCAATATATCCATGAGATGGAATACTATTCAGCTTTTAAAAAAGGAAGGGAATTACACCATGGAAGAACTTTGAGGACATTGTGCTAAGCGAAATAAGCCAGTCACGGAAAGACAAATACTGATTCCACTCACAGGAGGTACCCTAGAGTAGTCGAAATTATATAGACAGACAGCAGAAAGGTGGGTGCCAGGAGCTGGCGGAGGGGGAAACGGGCAGTCGTTGAATGGATACGGAGTTTCAGATTTGCAAGTGGAAAAGTTCTGGTTGCAGAGTGATGTGAATACGCTTAACACTACTGACCTGCACACTTAAAAATGGTTAAGATGGTAAATTTTATGTGTTTTTTTTTTTATTTCATTTTTTAAGTAATCTCTACTCCCATGGTGGGGCTCGAACTCACAACCCGGAGATCAAGAGTCGCAGGCTCCACCGACTGAGCCAGCCAGGCACCCCAATAAATTTTATGTTATTTGGGGCCCCTGGGTGGCTCAGTCGGTTAAGCGACTGCCTTCGGCTCAGGTCATGATCCTGGAGTCCTGGGATCGAGTCCCGCATCGGGCTCCCTGCTCAGCGGGGAGTCTGCTTCTCCCTCTGACCCTCTTCCCTCTCGTGCTGTCTCTCATTCTCCTCTCTCTCAAATAAATAAATAAAATCTTTAAAAAAAAATAAATAAATTTTATGTTATTTTATCACAATTAAATTTTTATAAATTATAACAGTGAATGTTTGGTAAATGTTAGCCACGGGCCTCCCCTTTGCCCCCATCATTTCATTTCTTCCCCACAGTCCTCCAGGGGAGGTGCTGTTATCCCCAATTTACAAGAGGGACACAGAGGCCCTAAGAAATGAAGGTCAAAGCCACAGGGCAAGTAATGCGGGATTTGAACACACCTGGGTCTTAACCCCGAGGCAGCCACCTCAACCTTGATGCTGCACGGCTCTCTTTAGTCTAGTTGATGTCCTGGGGAGGGCCAGGAGATCTCAAACACAAACTGAAAGCCACCAGGTTAGACGAATCTCACTCACTCCCATCTGTGCACAGGCTAACACCCCACTTCTCAGCCTGCCCTAAGCACCTCTGGGACAGACCTAACCTGCCTTCCGTGGTCATTTTCCTCCAGTCCCCTTCTTCCAGCCAGGCCTCAGCCAAACCGCACCATCCGCCGCTTCCTGCCCATATCGGGATTCCCACCTCAGGCCTCAACTCCTGCTGACCTCTAGGTGGGCCCTCATGTCCAAATGGTATTGTTTTTCAAAAGCACAGTTTCATAACAAAATCAGCAAAGATTTCCTGTGGGCTTACTCTCAGGAACGCATTTCAGCCTCACAATGACCTCATGAGGAAGAAACTGTCACTGTCCCCATTTTACAGATGGGAAAACTGAGGCCAGTGGAGGTGATGGCCACCTGGCTGGCAGTGCCATGATGCAGCCTGTAGGCCTGTGTGACTTCAAACCCCGAGATCTTCTCCACTTTACAAAGGGGACCAAGGACTGCCATGAGTCTCCCTGGATTTGTTCAGCTGACCTGGGGCCTGCTGCCTCTAAAGCCCCCAGGCTTCCTCTGGGCAGCCCCCTCCCCAACGGCTGCTTGCCTAAGTGCCGGTCTCCCAGCCTGGGAGGGTCAGGGTGAGAGTGGACGAGGCTCAGGACATCAGTGCTTTCCCCGGCTGGCCAGCAGAAGGAGCAGACCCACCTCTCCTCCCACCCAGCAGACCCTGCGTGACTTCCTTCCCACGCAGTGGGCTACAGGTTTACTTGTTTGTGGGTGATCTGTCTAGAAAAAGCTCCACCAGGGCAGTGGCTTTTGTGTCTTTCCTTGATGTGCCCTGGAACGGTGCCTGGCAGTGTAGGTGCTCACTCCCTGTGTGCGGAATGAATGAAGGAAGGAATGAATGCGTGAACACCTACCCCTACAACAGCAAAATGACTTCAGCCTTATATTTTTTTTCACTCCATCCTCCTGCCTCAGCCCTATATACAAATAAATAAATATATAAAAATAAATATAATATATAATAAATATATATTTGAGAGGGGAGAGAGGGCGCACGCACACGCGTGCACAAGTGGGGGGAGGGGCAGAGAGCGAGGGAGAAGCAAACTCCCTGCTGAGCTTGGAGCCCCACACGGGGCTCGATTCCAGGACCCTGAGATCATGACCTGAGCCAAAGGCAGATGCTCAACTAACTGAGCCATCTAGGTACCCCTCAGCCTTACATTTTTGAAGAAGGACAATACAGTTTTATATAAAGTGAGGTTTCCATATTTGCTCAAGAGGTACTCCTAAATGTAGATTTCATCCCTCAGCACCTCTCAGCAAACTCAGTCCAGTCCTGGAAGTCGGGAGGGTTACATTAGAGATGGTGGACAGGGTACAGGCAGAAATTACCCCCCAAATGAGTATGCAACTCCCTCCGGAACTAAACCTCCCACACTCCTGGGGATGTCTCGTGGCCTGGGGTTGGGCTCAGATCTGAAGGATAAGGAGGTGTTAACCTGGGAAAAGGGAGATAAGGGGGGAACAGTGGTCTAGAAGAGCATGTGCAAAGGCCCTGAGGAGGGAGGGGGCAGCATGCCTCAAGCGCAGAGGGCTACTGATAAAGTGGTCTGAGATGTAGCTGGAGGTATAGGCCAGACTGTGCAGGGCCTTATGGCCCATATTCATGGGTTTTGTTCTTTGCCCTAAAACGAACAGGAAGCCATAGCAGAATTTTAAGCAGAGGGTGGTACAGCTGAATTGGTCTGACTGCCCAAGTGGAGGGTGAGGCATTGGTGGTTCAATGGTAGAATTCTCGCCTCCCAAGTGGAGTGTGGCTAAGTAGAAAATGGACTGATGCCCCCCCTTCTGCCCCCTTCTGCCCACTAGAACACATTCAAGGCAGCAAGCACCCCCCCCATCTCATCTGCAGCCTCAGGTTTTTTTTTTTTAATTTTATTTATTTATTTATTTGAGAAAGTGAGAATGAGAGAGAGAGCACATGAGAGGGGGGAGGGTCAGAGGGAGAAGCAGACTCCCCGCTGAGCAGGGAGCCTGATGTGGGACTCGATCCCAGGACTCCAGGATCATGACCTGAGCCGAAGGCAGTTGCCGAACCAACTGAGCCACCCAGGGGCCCTGCAGCCTCAGTTTATAAAGTATAGCAGTGTTTACAAAACACACAGGCCATAAAGGTGCGGGCACAGGTGCGGGCCCAGGTAGCTGGCTCCACCTTTGCAGTCTGGAGCACCAGTGCAAGGAGACATGGTTTCAGGCTCAGGAGAAATTCTCTAGGCTCCAGCCTTCATGAGCTTTCCATGCTGAGCTATGGCAACCTACTCGGTCAACGGTGCCCATCCAATTGCTCCTGGGCCTTTGGTCGAAAAAGCAAAAAGGCTCCCAGAGTGTCAGACACAGGGCCTTTGTGCTCTCAGCTACTTTCATCCTCACGACAACCTTAGAGACAGTATTTTACACATGAGGAAACTGAGGCACAGAGAGGTCACGTGGCTTGTCCAAGATGACTGAGGAGGCTACTAAGCTAGGACCTGAGCCCATATCTGTCTGCTACCATGCATGTGACAGCAAGTGCTGTAGAAACTGAAATGCTGTGTGGCAAACATTCCATTTCTTGACCCTGGCAGGGGGCCTCAGCCCCCTTGCCTGGAACTCAGCCACCCCCACCTCTGCCTCTTACATTTCTCTACAGAGAGTGGTAACAGGTTACCAACAGGGTCGCTGGAGCCTCTAAATAAATATGCTCTAAATAAATCCACCCTTGGGCGCCTGGGTGGCTCAGTTGG